TGTCATCCACATATAAGGACAGAAGAATCCGTCCTGCACTCGAGCATCTAACAAACAGAGCAGAATCGTGATTACTCTGGACAAATCCAAGAGAGGTAATCACTGTGGAGAATTTCTCAAACCAAGCACGAGGGGCTTGCTTGAGCCCATACAAAGCTTTGCGAAGCCGACAAACCTCGCCCGGTCGGTGCTGAATTCCTGGAGGAGGGGTCATATAAACCTCTTCATGAAGGTCACCATTCAAAAAGGCATTCTTGACATCCATTTGAAAGATCTTCCACTGTCGAACGGATGCAACTGCAATCATAGTACGAACTGTTGTCATCTTTGCAACTGGGGCAAATGTCTCCTCGTAGTCAAAACCATACTGTTGGGAATACCCTTTTGCTACAAGTCTAGCCTTATATCGTTCAACAGAGCCATCAGCTTTTGTTTTTATCTTGTACACCCAACGACAACCTATCGTATGTTTCCCAGGAGGAAGAGAAACCAAATCCCATGTATGAGTCTGATGAAGAGCAGTGAGTTCTTCAGCCATAGCATTCTGCCAAAGAGGATCTGAAACAGCTTGTCTATATGATTCAGGTTCAGAGAAATGATGGATGCTTGCTATAAATGAAGCAATCAGTCCTGAATATGTAGAGTAAGAAAAATCTGGTAGCTTGGTGGACTTGACAGGACGAGAAGATCTCCTGAGGGGTGGTGGAGGAGGAGGATCCTCAACTTCAATAATCGGAGGATCAGGCTCAGGAACAGGTGGAGTCGAGACACCCTTTGAAGAAGTGGGTGTGTCATGTGCTGAGGGATCATGTGGCATAGATGAGTCTTGAGCCTCTATATCTTCATTAAAAGGATCAATACGCAGAAGATCAGACTTTGTTACATTGTGGGTTGTAGCAGGAATCGAGTAGAAAGGAATATGTTCCAAAAAAGTAATGTGTCGAGAAACATATAACTTCTGACTCACAGGATCATAGCAACGGTATCCTTTCTGACCAATCCCATACCCCAAAAATACACAAATAGCATATTTCGGCCCCAGCTTGTTCCTTTCAACATGAGGACGAAGAACAAAACAAGTACATCCAAAAACTCGTAAGGAAGAGTAGTCTGGTGGATGACCATATAACTTCTCAAAAGGAGATATTCCTGAATTCAATGAAGTAGGGATACGATTAATCACATACACAGCAGTTAAGACTGCTTCTCCCCAAAAGGCACTAGGAACCTGCGCAGACAGGAGCAATGAGCGGACAGTCTCAACAATATGACGATGTTTTCATTCTGCCACACCGTTTTGCTGAGGTGTATCAGTACACGAAGACTGGTGTATGGTACCATCAGAAGCAAGTAACTGAGTGAAATCATTAGAGGTATATTCACCCCCTAAGTCACACCTGAAGCACTTAATCACAGCCGAATGTTGAGTTTTAACAAGAGCTCTAAAATTGTTGTAAATACCAAAGAAATCAGGTCTGCATTTCATAAGATAAACCCATGTATATCGAGTATAATCATCTATAAAAGATACATAATAGGTTGACCCACCCTTTGTGGATACTGGTGCAGGACCCCACACATCAGAATGAATAATATCAAAAGGAGAAGTAGAACAAGACATACTTTTATTGAAGGGTAAAGCAGAAAATTTTGCTAGTTTGCAACCACTACAATCAGAAATATCACAAGAGTTTAAATGACCCAAAACACCACTAGATGCTAAGAAATTCAACCGTGATACAGACACATGTCCCAAACGAGAATGCAAAGATAAAATTCAGACGACAAAGGACTCAAACGAAAAGAAGATAAATCAATGCTGGAAGCAGCAACAGCAGATACTTTGAGGACCTCCAAGACATATAGTTCCCCCACCCTACGGCCGATCCCAATCACCTTCTGGGTGTGTTGATCCTGTATAACACAGACAGAATCAGAAAAGAACACCCAGTTACCAGACTTGCATAACTGACTGACTGAGGCAAGGTTCAAAGTAAGTTTGGGAATGTAATAAACATCAGAAAGAGTGATATGAGAAACAGAGACAGACCCAACACCCTCAACTAGAATAGATGTATCACTAGCAGACTTAACAGAAATAGACGACACTTGCGACAAAGAAGTAAATGATGACAAATGAGGAGTCATATGATGGGTTGCACCAGAATCTAAAATCCACAAAGATGAGGGAATACCTGAAGTGTCAGATGAAGAAGGACCAGAGTGAGACATAGATGCAGACATGGCAGTGGCAGTGGGATTAGAAGCCAAATACTGTCTAAAGCTCTCAAACACCTTGGGATCCAATGCAGATGGTGGCATATGTCCAACAGATTCTGTGTCAACTGGTGGAACAGCAGCAGCAGCAAACTGTGGAGGACGAGGGGTCCATGGAGGAGTACCAGAGGAACGCGACTGATACTTCTGTTGACCAGACCTATTTTATTGCCCTGACTGAGGTTGACCAGATTTACGCTTGTTGACTAACAATGGACACTGAGCTTTCCAATGATTCTTCTGTTTGCAGAATGCACACTCATCATAAGCGACTCTTGAAGTTTGTCGAGATTGACTGGAGGAGACAGCAAGCACAACAGGAGCGGAAGTAGGAGTAGAGGTTGCTTTAAACCCTTTATCTGCATGGGACTTGATACGAGTCTCTTCTGCAATTAACTCATGGACAACTGAATCAACTGAAGGAAGAGGAGAGCGATGAAGAATTGTTCCACGAAGACCTTCAAAATCAGAACGCAAGGCCATCAAGAATTGAACCAAACGTTGTTCTTCCCTCCTAGCAATGTAAGGCTCAAAATCTTTTAACTCTTTAGATTCAGTAAGAGCCAATTGATCCCAGAGATCAGACATAGCAGCATAGAAATCTTGAATGCTCTGGTCATTCTGTTGAAGGGCACGAATATCATATTCCAATTGGTATTGTTTAGCAAAATTAGACTGAGTATACAGTCTCTCCAAGTGATTCCAAACTTCCTTTGCTATATCATACTTAGCCAACTGCATACCAATGGACTGAGTAACAGAGTTATTGATCCAAGTAATAACCTTGGAGTTATTAGTCTCCCAAGCATCATGCAACATATCAAAATTCTCAGTTTGAGGCACTAAGGGTTTGGCTTTAGTCCCAGTTACATAGCCCCACATATTCTTCCCACGAAGGAAGTTCTTCATAATGTAACTCCAATACGTATAATTCTTTCCATCCAAACGAGTACTGACTGACTGAAGGGAATCATCCTTTCCAGTCATGTTGATAGTGAATGAACAACCACAATGACAATATAATAATCTGAGAGTGAAAGGAGTAACAAACCAGCGGAAGCAATCACTTGAATAACAAATCAACAGCAATTATGAACCAACAGCAGCAACGAACCAACAGTAGCAACGAACCGACAGCAGCAACGAATCAACAGTAGCAACGAATCAACACATAAAAAAAAACGAATACCAGTGATAATGAACGAAAACGGCATACTACAGTAACCCTAGAAATTTTCGATCCGCGCCACAGATGACTGCTACAAAGACTTCTAACAACGTATCAAACCTCTGCTCTGATACCATGATAACATTGTCATATGATTATATCAAAGAGAAATTATAAGGGTTCTCAGAGAAAAGCATAAAGACTAAAAGGAATAAAGCGGATATAAATACTAGCTAGACAAAAACCCTAATGGGCTAAAGACAAAAAGGGCCCATAAACAAGCGGGCTAATAATATAGACTAACAGTGCTAAGGAGTTTCCAAGTTCTAACACTTTAAGGGTTTGATAACTCTTTGAACTTTAGAATTTCCTAAGAATATGTATCCATAATTTTTATGTGTAAATATAATGAAATCTACAGAATAATGTGGAGAATCACAAATCTAGAAAATGAGATACTTACAAGAATCTAGGAATTGCTTTGAATGAATAAGACTTGAAGCTTGAAGGAGTTTGAGAGCACACTTAGGAGTTCACAGAATATGGATATGAGAAGTGGAATATGGGAAAGGTGGTTCACGTTTCTAAATAGAGATAATAAGGAGTGACTTGACACTTGCTTGGAGTAATGTTGGACAAAGTCTTGTTTTCTATGATTATTTTGTGTTTTACTGGTATTTGCATGGGAAATGGGGGTTCACATCAAATCATAAAGTCAAACCCCCTTATCACTTTATGATATAATATATTACTTTTATAAATATTAAATATTATTTTGTGTAGATATGTTTTAAATACTCAAATTTGGCCTAAAATAAGGGTTTAAGGGGTCGAAGTTATGAAAAATACGAGTTTGGTGGGATTCCCAACGTCAAAATACCTTAAAATAAAGAAAAGTCTGAAATGGTCTAAAATCCGGAGTGTAGTCCTGAATCTGCGAGGGTCCGAAGTGCTTAGGGAGTTTCGGAGTCAATGGAGCGAATTCCGAAGGCATTTACTCGATTCCGGAATGGGTTAGCAGCTTCCGGAGCGGGCCAGTGGCTTCCGAGGTGCGAGGCTGTCCGGGGCGGAGTCTTCCGAGGCGTGCGAGAATGATTCTGGAGCGAAACCTTCCGGAGTGAAGGTGTTCCGAAGTGAGCAAGGTCCAAAGTATGCGAAATCTTCCGGTTCAACTTAGGAGGTCCGAAATCAACATGCTCCGGACTCAGAAAGCTCCGGACCAAGAGGGTTCCGGACCAAGAGGGTCCTTTTGGGTTTTCTCCTTCGGTTTTGAGTTGTTTTCAACAAAGGAAAGGATTGGGATGGTACGAATGTTTATAAAAGTTGAGAGAGACGTGAGAGAGATTAGAGATACATTGGGAGAGATTGAGAGACATAAATGCTTTGCATTATAACAATACACGGTTCATTAGGAATCATAATGTAACCTTTAACACGTTATTACCAACCTTACAATAGTTGATGCTTACATGAGAACAAAATTTCCTAGCTAAAATGCTAGTTGTGACAAATATTCTTAATAAAACCACAGTCAAAAACCCAAAAACCCAAAAACCTACATTTCCACCTTGTTTCCTCTGAGAAGATTCACTTGAAACTTTATGTATTCCAAAGCTTCACGGAGTTCGTGAACATCAATCCAAAAGTTGAATCTGTCAAAAAAGTTGATTCTTGCTTCCCACACATTAACATTTGGATTGGATGCAACCAATGTATATAGTTGTGTGCAAAGATAACTGTTTGTGGCCAAGTTTAATATGTGTGGGAAAAAGGTTGAAACAGTTTTGTGATGATGTTCCAGATATATCTCTTGAACACACAAGAAACCATCAGTTTTCACTTTTTTGAGAAATTCAAAAATATCCTTACTATTTTCAAGATTGTTTAAACCAACATCTAATGGAGCATAAGAAACCAAAGAGTAGAAAAAGGTTTTGTTGATATCATAACCAAAAGAAGTTATTATTTTCTGAAATACCTCCAAAGAGAAATTAGTTATGTTGATGAAATCAACATGATCAACTATTCCTCCATGATAACCTCTTTCTGGATAGTACAAGAAACTTCCTCCATGGTTTATCTTCATTGAGAAGTATTTTGAGTTTTCAGATCCTGAATGAATAAGAAAAAAAATTAGATAAATATGAATATCATAAGATATTAACAACAAGAAGCATACCATATAGTTCATATAGATCAAGATACTCTGATGAGTTACGTAATTCCCAATTAACTGTTTCAAAAGCCATGAATGGAAATTGTATGTGTCTTTACGTTTATGATAATTGAAGAAGTTGTGGAAGAGGTATATATATCAGTAGTAATTGTAATTATTAAATGTGGTAATTAATTGTCTAACAACATTTGCATAGATAAGAATGTTTTCCTATTTTGGCGGTTATAAGGTATTAGCTAATCATATAAACTATACAACCTATATTATAATGTTTATCCTTTCTTTAATTTGTAGTTTTTAGATATTGTTGTTTTAAAAAAACGAATCTGCAATTTATATAAACTATGTATTGATTGATATATATATATATATATATATATATATATATATATATATATATATATATATATATATATAAACAATTCGATGTGACCATATAATATTAATTCATTGATTCTTTAAGTTTTAATAAAAGAATATTATTTTTTATTTTAAAAATATTTTCTTTTTTTCAAAAAGTAAGTATACAATATAAATGAAAAAGGTAATGTTTGAAATATAAAAATTAATAAATATATATTGCATTCTTTTAAACGGTTGATATAAGATTTTTGTCAAATTAGAAATATGAAATATGTATAATGTAGGTATTGTAGGAAGTCTAAAAAGTAATCAATATACATTAAAATTTCTTATTTTTATTTTTTCATTATTTTTTTTTCAAAAAAGAAATATGAAATATTATTGAAATAGTTTTTGTAGGGAGTATAAAATTAATAAATATATATTGCAAATCATTTAAATGTATGATATGGTTTTTTTAAAATAAAAATAATTGTTTTTTTTGTTGGTAATTATTCGATGTGACCATATAGTATTAATTCATTGATTCTCTAAGTTTGAATAAGAAAATATTATTTTTTATTTTAAAAATATTTTTTTTTCAAGAAGTAAATATGCAATATTAATGAAATTATTAATGTTTGAAATATAAAAATTAATAAATATATATTGCATTCTTATAAACGGTTGATATAAGATTTTTTTCAAATAAGAAATATGAAATATGTATAATGTAGATATTGTAGGATGTCTAAAAAGTAATCAATATATATTGCTAGTTTTTTAAACGGATGAGAGTTAATGTTTTTAAGTAAAATGATTGTTTTTATTTATTGTAATTAATACGATTTGACTATTCAAATTATGATTATTCTTATATCTTTTTAATAAATGTGTAATTTACATTTGTGCTTCGAAATAAACGTGAAAGTATATATAAAATTTCTAATTAATATTTTTTTTTCAAAAAACAAATATGAACTATATATAAAATAGGTTTTTGTAGTAATGATGAAATTAGAATATAATATATATTGACTAATCTTATATCTTTTAATATTTACATTATCATTAACTGGGTATATATCAATAATAATGATAGTTATTAAATGATGTAATGTGTTGTCTATCACATTCGCATAGAAATTAATTATTTTCCATTTAGGCGGTTATAGGTACTAAGTGTTAATCATTTCAAGTATATTTATTGTAATCTTTATCCTTTTTTTAAACATATAATAAATATTTTAATTATTAACTCTAAACGAATTCAAGTACTCTATGAAAGAATTTAGGAGGTAATAATTTTTTTATATATTGTTTAAAATGTTTATATTTAACTGAAAGTAGATTAATTCGTGAAAGATTAGTTGTTGAATTGAAAATGTCTTAAAATATATTTAAGATGTTGTGTGGCTTATATATGTGTAAAATATAATTAAAAATATATCTTACAACAGAATGGATAGTTTACATCAAAATAAGATTAAGAACAAACAAAAGAGGTTGTGTAATTTCTATAAAAGGTTGGTTCATCATGATTCTAGAAATTGTCAATTTGACAAAAGACATGCACAAAAGAGTTGCAAAGAAGATTTTGAAGGAAATAGATTTTGTAAGTTCTGCAAAAGAATTGGTTTTCATTATAAAAGGAATTGTCCTTATGATAAATGAGATTAAAATTTATTTGTTATTATTACAATAAGTTTTGAATTGATTTTGCGTTATCTTTTTTGTGAGTGTTTTGCAATAAGGTTTCGATTGTAGCTTCAATTGTAACAATGTTTTATAATAATTTTATGAATGTTATTAAATAAGTTTATGATAGCGTTTGTGTACATTTTTTTGATGTTAATATGCTACTCCTTAATTTTTTATTTTATTTGAAATATTTGTAAATTGATGGAAATGATAAAATTATGTTGTTAAAGCAATACAGCATATAACACTTTTTATATTGGGTGTCTTTAATTTTTTCTATTGTATGTTGTTATTATCATAGATTCATATATGTTGTACATATGAAATTGAAATAGTAAAGCATTACATTATCCATAATAAATATTAAAATAAACTTCAGAAACGTTACAAAGTTTTAATCCTAATATTATTTATATAGAGAAGCATAAGTACATGCAAAACTAAAATTCAAAATAAAGTTATTATTGTTTTTTTAAAGGCTTAAGCACTTTTGAAGGATTTATTGGGCAGTTTCTTTGATCATGGTTGACTAATTGTTTGCATCCGTTGCATATACGTTTTGGTTTAAGAGATTTAGCTATTGCTTTTTCCGCAACACTTTTGATTCGATTCCTCTTTCCACTTCCTTTTGTTTTTATCCCACTAGGTACTTTGATTTTCACATCAGTTGAAATTTGAACTCCAATGATATTTTCAACAACTTCCTTTATTGAATTTGAACTTGATTTAGAAGCAACATCCTTTCCACAACTTACACTTAATTCTTGAAGAGAATTCACCAATTCTTGTAATTTTTCCTTGTCATGAATAACTGAATCAATGCATTTCTTATAAAATGAAGAAGCATCCTGCAAGAGATTCGAAATATTTGTATTGCACACTCGCCATTTTTGGTTTATCTTTTGAAAACCAATATCCACTATGTTCTTTCTCCATCTATCCAAAATGTATTTATCAGGTATCTTGAAAATGTCATAATCTATTAGAACTCTAAAAGCATGACTACATAGGATTCCAAAAAATCTGAAATGCAAACATTCACATTCAATTGTTTGATCTTGTGCATCGAAAGATACCTGAAAGATAATAATACTATTTAATTAGACAAATATTATTAGAAAGTCAAAATAATTGTAAATTAAGATAATTAATAAATAGCATATACATTAACCTTAAATTCTGGTCTTTTGCCTGACTTAATTTCTTTGTAAGCGATTGTGCATTCTTGATAGCCATTAACAAAGATAGAATTCTTTTGAAAACACTGATAAAATGCCTTTTTTATCTGTTTCTGCACTTTAAGGAATGCTTCTCGTGTGTATACCAATGATGCATGTTTTTCAATCTTCAAAGGATCAAGTGCAAATAAAAGTTGTGGAGAAGTATCTCTTGATGCAATATCCAATCTTTTTTGCTCATGACGTTGCTTCGAAAATGTAGTGTCAAAATTGAACATAAAGCTCACAAATAAGTTTGTTGGACTGGAGAAAACATTGAAAAATGAATTTGAACTTGCAGACCGAGATGTAGTCTTCATAAGTCCACACATAGGTATATCTCTAAAATATGAAGGAATCCATTTGTCTCTCTTGTTGAACATATCATCTAACCATTTATTATCCTTCAAATGAAATTCATTCAACATCATATCCCACTTATTCTCAAATTCTGATAGTTCAATATTCATATTCCAAACTAGTTGATTTATACGTTTCTTGAAATTTGAATTTGAAACTACATCAGGTTCAATCTGTCATTTAAAATGTTTTTATATTAGTATTTTTACATAAGATATATTTAATTGAATAAATAAACCAATTTATTACCTTTGAAGACATTTTTGACATTATGTGCCACATACATAATCTGTGAGTACATCCTTAAAGCACCTTTGATATGGAAGAAGTTAATGCTGGATCCATATTTGTCAAAATCATTGTTGGTTTCTTCTTATGTGATGACAAAAAAGCTTCTAATAACCAAGAGTATGATTCAATTGTTTCATCTGATATTAGTCCTGCTCCAACATTGATTATCTTTTCATGGTTGTTAATAGCAGTGAAATGAACAAATATCATATTGTATCTGAAAATATTTATAAAATATATCAATTATTGTATAATATAATGTAATAAATATATTTTTACCAAATAACATCAGAAAACTTAGAATATTTTTCTTTTCCTGTTTCATCAACCCAAAATATAACACTTAGTTCCTTATCATTTAACTTATATTCAAAATGGAAGTTTTGATAATTATCTCTGCGAATAATCAACTGGTCAATTTAATATAAAGTATGAAAACCTGCCTTTATGATTTTCCTTTGCTGTCGAAGTTGAAGTTCCATTTGAAGAATGATTGAAAGATTCAGTTGCTTCATTAAACAAATATTAGTATTTTAAAATATAGCATAGTAATCTATTTCAAATATAAATATTGAATTTTAACATCAGAAATATAGTAATTATAATCATTGAAAACTTGCCTTTATCACCATCGTTTAATGTTGATTCTAAAGTTCCAATAGCTAAATCACTGAAAGATTCATTTTCTTCATGATTTAAATAAGAAGAACAATTCTTTTCAAATTCTTTTGTAGACATCTCTTCAATTCGAATTTGTAATTAAATGAAGAAGTTAATTGCATGAAGATGATTGCGTCGTTCATAAAGAGAATGAAGAAGTTAATGTTAATTTAATATTGCAGTTTATGTTTACGGTTATTAATTTGAAGAACTGGTTAAATTCCGTTTTTATATAAATTACTTTCTTACCCTTTATTAATAATTTAAATAAAACAAAATGAATAAAACATGAATAATGAGGTGGCATGTTCTTATTGGTTCTCGCATTTTCGCATGAGCCTTCCCTTATATATATATATATATATATATATATATATATATATATATATATATATATATATATATATATATACCCGACGGGTATCCAGTGGGTAGCAGTTCCGAAAAAATAAGAACCGGAACCGGAACCGCTTAAGGCGGTTCCATAATTTTAGGAACTGGA